CTCGACCAGATATTTTTGCATCTAGATACTTTTGGCAGTAATGTGCGAAAATTTCATTGGGTGTCGAAAAGTTAAGTAGTGCTCGCTGCTGCTGTCTCCGGTTGCTGCCCAGTTGCCCGTGGCCCGTTGCCCGTTGCTCGTTACCCGATGCTGCTGTTGCTTCTGCTTCAGCCATTGCCATTTAATGTGAGAACCCAACATTTGGCTTTTGAGCTTTCAATTTGTATTAAGTTGTTAGCCATTTGCCGGTTAGCATAAACGTCCATTGGCCCCAGGGACTGGAAGTGGAGTCTCTCTCATTTCCCGGTTTAACTTGATGTGCATTGTCAGGCAACTATTTGATGGCAAAATTGTTGTAAATTGCTGCGTTCGCAAACGACTCTTATCAATTTCACTTGGCTAATTGGTTTCAAATTTATGGACCTGTAATTGATATTTATGTATGTTGTCTTTTACGATGATGCTGCTCCTACTACTGCTGCTGCTCCCACTTCTCCCATTGCTTCTACTGCTGCTGCTGTTGTTGTGGATGCCAAACAGTTAGCTGACAGTGCACTGCCACAGCATTGAAGGCATGCCAGCGTAATTGGTCGCCTATTTTGTTATAAATCGTTGTCCAAAGCATCTGACAGACGCACAGAGCCACAAATGTGCTTAAGAACCTACTTCAAATAGTCAGAGCTAAAGAAATGTGTATCTAAAATAATTTAAAAGCATACAGGGATTACAGTTGTGAGCCGGTTCGCTTAAACTTAGTATATTGAAACTTATATTGTATCTGAAGCATTAGACTATGTCCTGAATAAAGTTATTTGGGCTTCAAGCCATTCAGTCCCAAGTCATTTAAGTCCCAAGCTCGCTCTGTCTTCCTTTTGTCAGCTAAATAGTTTCCTGAACGACAACTAACTTCTTAGCAACAACAACGACTATCTTAAAATAAAAAATCTAACTTGTGTCTGAATGTCTTAATATAAAAATTGAAGCCTATAACAATTACACCACCTGATTTACCGTCTAGCCTTACCTGACATGTCATATGCTTAAAATCTTTGAAAATTATAAGCACAGCAAATGTTTGTTTAAATTTGTACTAAAGCATAATTAGATTTACGCTTTCTAGACTTACATCAATTTCAAGTCCAATACATTTTTAGAATTAACATGGAAGCAAAACTAGAAAGATACACTAATAAAAAATTGAATCGATTCGATTTTTGGTTTTCTTTTGTTTATTTTTGGTTCTCTCATTGGAAGCTGTGTGTAAAACGCAACGAATAACGAAACGAAAACAAAGAACGCGCTAATTAAAAATGCTAAAGTTTTAAGCTTCCATCCCAACAAAATTCCAGCCTCCTTTTCAGCTGTCCATTAGGCTGCGACTGATGCGCTGCAGCAATTTCAGTACAAGCAGATCTGGAGCCTTACTTAGCACTGTTCAGTTTTTTTTTCTGGCCGGTTTTTCGAATTTTGTTGTTGTTGTTGTATCTTTTTTCGGCTCTTATTGTAGTAGTAAACATCGCTCGGCTGTCGATTTTGGTGTTCTGCTGCTGCTGCCTGTCAGTCGACGTTCGCCGGACATGAACGACGAGTCCGCGGCGGGAGTAGCAGCCAGCAGATTGAGGCTACAACAACGCCCAAGTCCAAACTCAAACCCAAACCCAAACTCAGGCTCAGACTCAGACTCAAACCGAACCATTCATCTTTAGCCGTTCGAAAGGCCTTCGAAACTGGTCTGACAGTCATTTGTTGGGTCTCTGGCAGTGTTGGGGTTAGCGTGTTGCTTATCCAATCCGCTCGACTCGAAATTTCCAATGAAATGCTGAAAATGTTGCCACTGCAGGACTCAACATGCAGGGTTTATAGGTATTTTAATTAGTAAAAACTCTATAGACACACAATTAACTCAAAAAACCAAAAAAAAACCCAAGAGACCACCAAAAAAAACCCAAGAGACCACCAAAGACAACAATCGCCGTCGTCTTGTAAACATAACTCTTAACTTTAAACGAACGACAATTTTTCTATGTTTGATCTTCAAATTGATTAAAACCTAATGAAGCCAAATAAGCTTGAAAATCCAATAAATGATGTGATTACGCATGGTCCTATAAGGATTACGATTACGATCTTAAGTCGAGTATTTAATTCAATTTCCAAAGCTAAATTAAACTGTCGACTTAAGCTGCAGATCGTATGCGACACACGTGTGACATTCATCCCGACTGTGACAAGTGTGCGTCTGTGCGCCAGAAACACCACCACCACCACCACCACCAAATGTGGTTCATCAAGAACATATAAAGAAAAAAAAAACTTGCCACACTTTTTATTGTTTTGTTTAATTGCAAACAAGTGGGCGCGTTGGCTTGTAGTTATTATAGTTGTTGCCAGTTGGTGGTGGTGGTGATGGTGCACTTGAAAATTGTAACAAAAAAAAAACATGATAAATGATTATGCGCACTTAACCCCTTGTCGTCCCGCACAGCTGTTGGGTTTTCCATGTCGATGCGTAACACCACAACGAAAATCAAAGCCAAGCCGGCGAGACGCAGTTGTCAGTGTTATTGTCGCTTGGTGGTGCTGGCGGTGGCTTGACTTGGGCGCACTTACAGCCACGAAAATGTAATAAAAACGTGCGTCTGCCCTGACTTCATGTAAATCATGTCAGGCGGCGAGTGGCGCAAAATATTTTGTAGCCACGCCAAATGAAGCGTAGACAACAGCAACTGCAGCAGCATCAGCATCAGCAGCAGCAGCAGCAGCAACAGCTCACAAATGAGCATCCTGGCACAAGATGCACTCACACACACACACATGGCTGCTGATCGCAATCACCTGAAGGTAGCTTAAAGCAGCCCCAAGCTGCTGGCAACAACAACAACAACAGCAACAAAAACATCATGCCCCATGTCCATGCCCAGCTCCGGCCCAGGGCGTCTCTGGCGTGAACGTGCAAACATGTTGCACATGAGAGAAGCTGCCGCTAAAGTACTTGTACTTGTCATATTGTTATGGATTTATGGCAACACGAAAAGCGCCATAAAAATGACATATGCACGTGCATGGATTTGGGGATTTGGGGTGTTTGGGGCGTTTGGCTGTAGCCCAAAAGGCGACGCTTGCAGTTGCACATGTTCGCGCTTGCCTCAGCTGCTGCCTCAGCGATTGGCAATGCGAGCACGCGCAGTTCCCTTCCTGTTTGTGGGTTTCGATTACAATGTGGTTGCGATCCTGCCGCAAAAGCAACCCTCCTCGCCGTTTCGACCTATCGCTAATTAATCGCCTTTGTTCGTGTTATAATTTGATGTGAATGAGAAACATGTTTGCCTTTCTGATTTGCGATTCGGGTGTTATATAGACTTTAGGGGCGGCTCTTCAGGCTGACAATGCTGCCTGGCGAAGGGGGAAGGGCACTGGTTAAATGAGGCGTGCTCTGATCGCCCTGATGAACTTGCCGCGATCTGACATGATAGCCCTTATGCTGCCTACAACATGTGCGCGTTTCACAGCGACACAAGTGCGGCGCAGAACAAATGCAGTTGCTGCGAGGTGGTGCAATTTGCTGGATCAGGTGGTTTTGATGGATGATGCTTTCCAAGTGATTATTATTGGGGTGGGTCATCATATGTTGAGCAGTCAGAAAGTGAGTTCGGTTATCTATATCTACAGCACGCAAGCTTGACGGCTCTTGAGAGCCTTTTTTGACAGTGTAAAATATTTATATACGACTCAAGGCTTTGCTGTCTAGGGTACTGCCCGTCGAATCACTGTCTAGCAGTTAGAATCGTTTCGAAGCTCCGCTTTAAGCAGGATGAAGGGTGCTCTCTGGTATAATCGAAATTGAAAAATTACCAACGAACTGGGTGTATCTTTAGCTTGTGCCCAAATCAACTGCCACTGTAGCAACAGTCTGCGGATGCATGGCAACCGCCTTGCCTTTGCAAGATGGTTGGAAAATGTACACCCTAGATATCTGCGGGAAAATGAAAGCCGAACTTTGCTTCATTAATACCTCTAGCTCAGGTGGGGTGCAACTTAAAACCTAGTCAGCGAATAAACTTCTTGATCTGCTTTTGGTATCTCAATTCGAACGATATCATTTTTATATAATATAGTTAAAAATAAAATAAAATATGCGCAGAGAAAGTGCAGCTGGAGATATGGCCATTATAAAAGGAGCTGCCACCAGAATGCAATATGCTTAGATTTTACAGTTTGCCAATAAATTTACATGAGATTCGAGCAGCTGTTTCCCCCCAGAACTTTTGTAAATAAATACTTGTCGAGTCACATGTCCTCCGTCCAGCTCTTTTATTCCCGCGATTGCAGATGCTAATAATTAGCCCTAAATGAAAAGCCCTTTGTCCCAAAAATTTAGTTCTTTACACTTTTACAAAATCAATTCCTCCTTGGTGAAATTAGGGGTCAAAGATTTGGTAGGACTTATGGACATTAACTTGATCGGTCTCAAACTTATTTTAAAATCACCGCATAAAGACACGAATACAGCAATTTTGGAAGTTCCACCCACAACTGTAAAAAATTGGAGGAAAATTTGTCACTTTTTTGTTTACCATCGGATACGCTTCAAACTTATTTTCAAAGATCTCTGTAGAAATGTATCTAATGTTTTTTTTTCGCAAAAACTACCGCTTTTGGATGAAAAATGCTGGTCAAAGGTTAAATGAACAAAAGTTTATTTTTCGGCCCCAAGATTCTCCCGACAAGACTAACAAGGACGGAGAGCGTTGATTCCAACGTATGGATCTTTATGCAATGCATTTTAATCATAATTTCTAAAGGTAGTGAAGTGCAAGATAGTGTGGGAACAATTAAATTGCTCACGGGTGGAAATTGGGTGAAATAGTAATATCTACAATATTTATTGCTAAACTTTCTACGATCAAGGCGGGGTAATATCCGCTATTATATAAAGAAAAAGATAAATATTTAAAGTCAATCAAAGTTGTGATGCTGTCTACAAAATTTTAAGGCTCAGCCTATTTTAAGCGATCGCCCAGATTCATTTGCTGCACTATGGTCATAACGCTGAACGCAAATTTGGCCATCTGAAAATTTCGTTGCAATAAATCAATATGCTTTGTAATATCTATGTAGAACTACTCACCTTAATGTTACTATTCATTGAGATGGTAAAGAGGCCACCGGCTATAAAGACAATTGGCTGTTGCACGTGGTGCATAAATATAATTAAAGTGGACTTATATTTGCGTTCGGCATTGGGCCAGTTCGATTGGGCCAGTAAATTCAACAAATCAGTGCTATCTTCGGCGAGCAAGTCGCTCAGGTAGCAGCAGGGAAATGATTCCAATAGAATGGCAGTTAGATATATAAGCGATGAAATGCCATGCATGAGATCCGAAAAATATAAAACGTTAATCATGATCACTCCAAGTAGAACGCCAACCAGTTGAAAGTGTACAAAGATGATGCCCGAGAGGACGGGGCGCATAATATCACAGCATCTGGACAAAAAATATAATCTTGGCAAAAAGGAATTGCTTCGAAATGTGGGATTTTCTTACTGTAAAATCAGCTTGTGATCTCGTATGCAGCGCGTGAGTTCATCATAGTTCTCAGTCTCTGTTTTAAGGGGATCTGTGCGCAGATTAAGGATATGCTCCCTCAGCAATTTGACGTGTGCTCGCATCATAAACACAAAAATGAGGGGATATGTATCCCATATTAGAACCGTCAACACCGATAAGGTTACAAAGATTTGCTCAAGGATCGATTGCATCCAAAAATTGATCGCTCCACTGCGCCAATCGAAGATCGGATTGTATAGAAACCACGGCGGCTGCCCATTCAGTACGCCACTCACAAATACGGACGTAATAAAGCAGCAGTACACTATTGCGTAAACCAAAAATATGTAGTTGGAATCAGCAACAGCTTTGTGGATCCTCCGGCGATCGCTTTCAGTACGCAGTCGCTCGTCCATAATGTCAAGTACTGACTCCATTTGACTCAGGCGCGAATACAAAAATATGACCACGATGCTCTTTGATGTCGCTCCGTTGGCGTTGACGAATGCTTGCAGTACGCCAAGAAAATCACCGGGCGTAAAATTCGTAAAGTTCTTAACAAGGCTTAGTGCTAGGCCCAGTGGTACGTACAGCTCGCCAAAAGTAAGTACTAGCGCAGACCAAAAGAGGTATAGATATCGCTGTAAATTCTGCTTTGGCGGTATCCAACCAACGAACTTCAGTAGGCGATATAAATAGGTGCAACATTCCCTGGAACGCACTCGAGCCGTAAGCGGAGCTGGATTTATAAGTCGGAATATCTTCTTCAT